AATGCACAGGAGGAGAGGATGGCCAGAGGAGGGAACAGAGACCTGTGTTGCTCACACTCTTCTATGCAAAATGACACTAAAATAAAAAAATTAAGTACGCTAAAACCAAATCCACCTAATCCTGATTAATCACCCATTAAAATCCAACAACAAAACACAGCGCCCTCTCTCTGCACCTTCGCAGATCCCTCCACTTAGACTTTCCCAGAATGCATGCTGTGCTTTAGGAGAGGTCACTCAGACACTCCCCAGTGTTATCAGCCTCTTTCTGAGTCCTTCGGGAGAGTCCAAGGCATGTCCAGGCAGGAGATGGGTCCAACATTCCAGCTGTGCCACCCTAGCAAGCTGGCTAAGGACTTGGATTCACAGGTATCAGAATCTTACTGTGAAATCTGTAAGAGCTCTCTACCCAGCCCACACACCTCTCCCTACAAAAGCCTAAAGATTTTCTCCTTCTAAACTTGAATTTCAGGGGCTGGGGATTTAGCTCAGTGGCACAGCGCCTACTTGGCAAGCACAAGGTCGTGAGTTTGATTCCTGGTACCAGAAGAAAAATAAAATAAAATAAACTTGAATTTCTTCACCTAATCCCAAGGGCTTTCATTAGGTCTGAAATCAATCAAAAATATAATAAATCTGTGACTATATCTGTCCTCGTGTATAAAAACTATTGCCACAGTACTACCTCATACAGTGTAAGAGCAAGATATTTGAAAATTTTAACATGGTTACTGACACAGAATAATGCCCATTAAAATGTGTTACTCCAGGAGGCTGAAGTAGTAGGATTGCAAATGTGAGGTCCCCCCAGGCATCTCAGAGACACTCTGTCTCAACTACAAAATACAAAGGGCTGGAGCAGTGGTGCAGCACATGTCTGGCACGCATGAGGCCCTGAATTCAGTCCCCAGTGCCAAAATAAAAGAAAAAAAAAATTACTTGTACTTTTATTGTTTTAAAATGAAAGAGTTTTTATGTGTGAAGCTTTCATATTAATGTAACAGATGAGCTTCGGCCTTGTGTGCCTTACATTTTTCCACAGCTTTTTGAAAATGCCTGACATCTAGTTTGCAGAGCACTTTATGGTAGCTACACAGAGGGTCACAAAGAAAAGTCACTTTGACTTCAGAAACTGTTCCAAGATAGCAAAGATTAAGAACCCTTAACTCTCACTGATTCTATTTTCATTGCTTTTGTTTACCATCTATCCCATTTATTTTTCCTATTTCTCCACTAGCTAAAAGGCAGCCTGGGAATGAACATCCTCAGTTGTATCTTTTCCATCACCGGAGTGATCCTGTTGCTGCTGGATCTGTGCATCAATGCCCACCCGCAACCAGTCTACTGGGCGTTGGTGAGTATCCCGTAATCTGCCACACGCCTGCCCTCTCCTCGACCCCACAGTGAGTCTGCTTTTGTCTCCAACTGCTGCATAGCAACTCCAGTGGAAAATCCCTGTTCCGATTCCATCCTTATTCCTGGAAACATGTTGCAGGGAGAGTAACCCCTGCACTGGCGTAGGGCACACAGACGGTGCCTTACTGGTCCCTCACAGGAGCAACGGGGAAAGGCTGGGAGAGGCGGCCAAGGCTTGGGAAGAATCCTTGCAATTATTTCTACAGTAATTTAAAATCCTACATAAATAAGATACTGAAGGTGCTGAGTGGCTCTTTAGTTTTAGAGTGAGAAGTGGGTGAAGGAAAATGGCGGTGACAAGACATGCAGCTTTACTAGAGAAGCACAGAGAGTGAGGGAAAGCAAAGTGAAGCGTGTGGCTGAGTGTGCTCAGCAGAGGCATCTTTTCATCGGTGCCATTTTGGCTGAGCAAGGACTCTGACCCTGGAGCAGAGGTGAGGCCTGTGCCCAAGATGCCTGCTGTGTGCAGGGACCGCGACGCAGCATAAACCAAGGCTGCTCACCTTGCTTCAGTGGCCGTGCCAAGGTCTCTGTTCTTCCTTCAGAGAGCAGAGCAAAGCCGTAGAGGAAGAAATCGAGACCTCAGAAAGGAGCCAGGCTCACCCTCCTAGGCCACCTGCTCTTGTGGGAATGGACCCTCGCCTGTAAGCCCTGCCCCACCTAGGAGACCACGCGTGCTCAGCGCCCACAGCCTCTCGCCTTGTCCCACTCTTAAATGTCCCCCACCTGCCGTATTTACACCTGCCACATGAGCCCGGTCTAAGGTTCTAGCACATGAGCCTTGGGGTGCCCAACCCATACCCCAACCACAACAGAAAACCTCTGGGTAAACAAGACACAGCTTTGCAAAACATAAAACTCACCTTGTATCACGTCCAGTGAAAAGAACAATGTGGCACCTGCATGGAGAAGCGATCCTGATGGGACTCAAGAGGGGGTTCGGGGGTCTGGGGATTTAGCTCAGCGGCAAAGCGCCTGCCTGGCAAGCGCAAGGTCATGAGTTCGATTCCCGGTACTGGAAAAAAAACTTAAAAACAAAAAAAAGAGGGGGGTTGGCAGCACACCTCCTGGCCCCAGCTCTGGATGCCAGAAGCCAGAGTGAGTAAAGAAGGGAGTATCACTAATGTGTTCCTGGCTGGAGCTCTGGAGACTGAGGAGGAGTACAGCAAGAGCTCTGTGGCTGCAGCCTTGCAGAGCAGCCTGGCTGGGCACCAGGAGCAGGAGATGAGAGCTAACAGTGTCTGGTGCCGCTCGCTGATGTGGAGGAGGGAGCAGGAATCACCCCTGGCACTGCAGCAGACCTTGGTACCAGGCATTCAGAGGATGCTCAGAAGGCAGGTTGGTAGGTAGGTGGACAGGTAGTTAGGTAGGTAGGTAGATGGAGAGACAGGTAAGAACATAGGTAGGTAGATGGACAGATCAATGGAAAATCCCACCCTGTTAGTTATAAGGTATAAACAATTCTTTAAAATTCTAGGTAGAACAGCAACATATGTTCACCCATATTTACAGTGGCACTATTTGTAATAGCTAAATCTTGGAAATAGCCCATCACCTGCTTAATGGATAGAGAAGGTGTGTTTTTTAATACAATGAAGTACTACTCTACTACAAAGAAGGATAAGTTGAGATGCATCCAGTTAAATAGACGCAACTTGAAACATTCTCTTAAGTGAAATAAATTGGACACACATGTGTAAATAGTGCCCTGTTTCTCTGGTGTGGGAAACCAACCGTGTAAATAAGGACCAAAATGTATAATAGGTGTTGTGAAACAGGAAGAAAATGTTCAAATGGGAAGGGAAAGTAGGGAGGAGGAAGGACAGGACAAGAGAAAATGATGAGAAAAGAAGGAAAAATGGAAATAAAACTTTTGAAAATGAAGGGAAGAGAGATTGAAGGAGGAGGGGAATAGGGAAAAAAGAATCAAGTTATATATGTACAGGTACAAATTCCCTACAGTTTCCCTATTGGTACATAAAATGTACCAACAAACTAAATTAAATGAAAACTCTGGTGAGGGGGTTCTCGGTAGAAAAGTTAAATAACTTATGAGCTGGGAACAAATCAGTTTGTCTCAGTCTTCAGCACAGCAACGTCCAATGAGGAGACACAATAGGGAGATATTTTTAAAGGCTTTCATGCAAAGAAATCTTGACTCCAGAATACCGCATCCACCAAGTGTGCACGCGAGCTGAAAGGTGGTGAGAAGATGCTCTCTGGAAAACAGGGCAGCCACTGCGCATTGGTGTTTTTAAAACTTAACATACTATTCAGCTGTGCAGCAGTTAACTTACCTCAAGAGTCCAGCAAGGCAGAGGGAAGCTTGCAAAGGGATTAATGGGCAGCACTAAGCCACAGAAGGGTTCGACTGAGACGAACAGTTACAGAATTGAATATAAGTGCTTTAATGTTTCAGCCCTAAAAGGGAATACACCACAAAGGCATAATTACCGAAAGCAGGGAGGTAGGAAGAGGCAAGGCAAGATGAAAGGGAGATGAATGCCAATCGCCTCCTCTTCTCATAATGAACAATCATTTGATACTGTCTAAAATTGAGACTCCAAAGCTTACAGTGACTTCAGCTTCTTCATGGGTTTCATAAACACCTGTGGGTGGGGTGGGGGGACGGCACTGGGGACTGAGCCCGGGGCCTTCACACTGAGCTA